TAGGACATCTTCTTTAATATTGTAACTATAATTCTTGCTCGGTAATTGTTTTGTTATATGTAATTTTACCATGTTAAAGTTAAAACCTTCCTTTTTAAAAAAAGAAAAAAAGGGGAAGTGCTGTGGATATTGCTCTATATAAATAAAACACTGGCCGGGCGGTGGTGGTGCACGCCTTTAATCCCAGCACTCGGGAGGCAGAGCCAGGTGGATCTCTGTGAGTTTGAGGCCAGCCTGGGCTACCAAGTTAGCTCCAGGAAAGGCGCAAAGCTACACAGAGAAACCCTTTCTCGAAAAACCAAAAATAAATAAATAAATAAATAAATAAATAAATAAATAAATAAATAAATAAATAAATAAAACACTGATGGCCAGTGACCAGGCAGGAAGTAGGTTGCCAGGCAGGAAGTGGGTGGGACAAGGAGAGAGGAGAATTCTGGGAAGTGGAAGGCTGAGGAGGGAGACACTGCAGCCACCGCCAGGAAAAGCAGCATGTAAAGACACCGGTAAGCCACCAGCCACGTGGCAAGGTATAGATTTATAAAAATGGTTTAATTTAATATAAAAGAGCAGTTAGCAAGAAGCCTGCCACGGCCATACAGTTTATAAGTAATATAAGTGTCTTAGTGATTATTTTATACGTGGATTGTGGGACTGCGGGGCTTACTGGAACCTGGAGAGAAGCCCTCTAGCAACAACCCACATTTGAAGGTTTGGAGCTAAGGACCTCAGATGAGAGAGAACAAGTGATGTTTGTCTTTCTGGGTCTGGGTTGCCTTACTTATTATGATCATTTCTCGTACCATACATTTACCAACAAATTTTATGAATTCACATTTCTATACAGCTAAATAGCATTCCACAGTGTATACGTACCACATTTTCAATAACCATTTGTCAGTTGAAGGACATTTATGTGGTTGCCATTTCCTAGTTATTGTGAACAGAGCAACAAAGAACATGGCTGTGGAGTAGGATGTCAAGCTCTTAGGGTATATTCCAAGGACTGGGACAGATAGAACACATGATAGACTGATGTTTAGCTTTCTGAGAGTACTCCACAATTCCAGGGTAGCTGGGTCAGGTGCAATCCCATCAACAGTGAAGGGGTCTCTTTGTCCCATATCCTCTCTGGCATTGTTGTTGGTTGCTTTGTTGATTTTGACCATTCTGACCAAAGTAAGATGAAATCTCAAAGTTGCTTTGATTTGCATTTTCCTACTTGCTAGGGACAATGAATGAACACTTTCTTGAGATATTTCATAACCCTTTTTATTTATTCTTTTTAGAACTCTGTTCAGTTCCATTACCCATTTTAATGGATTTTTTCCTCTTTAAGGAACTCTGTTTTCAAGTTAAATATTTCTGTGTAAGTGCATTTTCACACCCTAGAATTTTCAATTGGAGGAGTCATGCCCTCAAGAAACTGCCTTATTGTCAAAGTGGGAATTGCATGGCATTAAGAGGTGCCAATCTCTTTAACAAGTGGCACTGCTTTTTCAAATGTTGCTTTGAAACCTTAAATGATTTTGCCCTCCTTTCTTTACCCTACTGTATATTTTATTAATCCATTAATCTATTTTCACTCCTTGTTCTCACTATAAATGTAGCTAAAAGAAGACAGTAGTGACTATGTTACATTTTGAATATTATTCTGTCTTAAAATTTCTTTCAACAGATAAATTAGTCCATTTCTTTTGCCTTCAGCATTGCTTAGAATTTCAGGACATGGTATAAAATAGACAGATTCCTTGCCATAATATAATATAAATGACTTCTAATTCGATTCGCAATGGAGCTGGTGTTCTTGCCTGAAACCTCATGCACAAAATATTACCGTGCACATTCCTATCAATCCTCTGGTCACTTGAACTCACATCTGCATGATCTAGATAATATTCATTTATAGTATTTCAAAGGATTCTCTAGTCAGAAATGTCTAAGTACTTTCCCATGCATCCTATAAACCTATTAATCACAAAGCATGGCACTTCTCTTGCTTTAGTTATGGTTCTCATCTCTTTGGAGGTATACCAGAAACATATTAGGGAGGGAATATTTGTTGTAATTCATGAACTTGGACAGATTTTCATCCATTATGCAAAGAAGGCAAAATGGAGCAGCTCAGCCCATGGTGGTGAGAGCATACAGTGACTGATCTTTCTCATCTCATGGATGACCAGAAAACACAAAACATAAATTATAACCAAGAGTGGTATAACATTCAAAGCCCTGTTTCCACCAGTGAGCACCCAACTAATAAAGATTTCATACCTTTCAAAGTAGTGCCAGAAGCTACAGAACATGTACTCAAAATCTGGGGGCTGGGGGGACATTTCTCATTCAAACTGTAATAAGTACTATCTGTAATTCTCATTCAGCCAGAAGTCCAGTCTAGGTTAGGACTTCCTCAGTAATTAGCTTGAATTTTCTAAATGCAACTTTGTCATTCTGAGGCTCAAACACATGACCCTTGAGGTCATCAGATTCAATTTTGCTTCCTTGAGTACTTGTGACCAGTGTTTTTCCAATCTTTCTATTACTGAAGGTATCTAGAGCTTTTACATCATACCAATCTTGCTTAGAAAACGGATCAACCACTTTCTTCCTGGCTCCCTTCTTGCCACCTTCTATCAGGAGCTTGTGTTTTTCAACTGCTATGGTACTGCTCAGAGAGCCAAAGGGGCCTAGGTTTTCATCTGGATTAGCCAGGGTTAAGAAGGAAATCTCCATAGTATTGAATAGAGTATTTTGTTCACTCACATTTATTATACAAAGTAATGGGTTTACTAAGACCATTTTGTACATGCCGCCTATGATGTATTTTGAAGATATTGACCCCTCCTTGCCCTCTCTTGGTCTTCCTTTCCTTCCCCTTGTTCCCTTTCTCTTCTCTGATATTACCTCTTTCACTCATTTCAATTTAATGTAGTTATTTTTAATTTATATATGGTCATAAAAGCAATAATTTTGTTTCTGAGTTTTGATTATTTCTTAACATAATAATCTTCCATTTTTCCATTTTCCTGCAAACGAAATTTTGAGTCAACATCATGCTGTTTTTCTTACCACTTTTTTTCAGAATAGTTTAAATCAGGTATTAAGCTACATCCAACATTTATTTTAGAATTGATTTTCTAGTTCTGTGACAAATGATATTGTTATTGGAAAGATTTTTATCTGGCTCTGAATACTTTACCATTTTACTGCATTTTTCACACAAATTGAAATAAGATTATGCAAGAACATAAAGATGTTCATTTATCATAGATTATTACATTCTTAATTGCTAATTCACAATAATAAGCTGACAATAATAGAAAGGAAGAATAAGGAAAAGAAGAATCCAGTTCCCTGCTAGACAAGGTAAGAGATATAAGACTAACAGTTAACTCCTGATGGTATCTGTAAACATAAGTAAATAAATAACAAAAATAGCATTCAAATATATCTTTATAATAAACTAAGTAGATGCATATTGTAGACATTCAACAACTACCTATTGACTGGTTGAATAAAAAATGAATAATGCATCCATCATCAAGCAGTGGGAAATGAAATGATATAGAAGGTATATTTTCTATGATGAGCAACCTTAAATATATTTTTCTCATAAATGTTGTAAGATAGGTATCATTTATCTTCATTTTCTAAGTGAAACACAATCCAAAAGATTTTAATAAAATAGAGCCAACTCAAATAAGTCACTAGTGTCAAAGGGAGGACTTGAGCCTGACTTTTCTGATCCTCAAACCTATTTCCCTCCATCTACATTGTACCATTATGTTATGATTACAAAGTGCAAAAAAAGACACATCTTAGGCAAACCAAACTGCTGGGAGCACACAGCAAAACAGTATTAGGAAGACCATGCCATGGCTCTCAATTTTTAACGATTTGCAAATGTTTATGTCGATAAATTAAACACTCCCGTTGCTTTAAACATAGCAGTGAGAGATAGGCAAAGACAGGAATCTAGACACATATACATAACACACACACACACAGAGAGAGAGAGAGAGAGAGAGAGAGAGAGAGAGAGAGAGAGAGAACGAACCAAGGTGACAGAGAACTGTTTCCATCTATAAGAACAATGCTTAAGGAACAGCACAGTCACTTAAGTCATTATGTTTAACTTTATTATTTTTAGAAGTGTATCTTTTCCTGAAACAGTAACAGATCTTTCTTTATACTCAGATTTTTTTCCAGAAATAAATCCAGAGAGGCAAAGCAAGTTTCCTGAACCTAATTGCCAAGGCAATTTGTATACTGCCTCCAGCCAGAGGAAAGAAGCAGAGGAACTATTCAAAGGTTTGAAAAACCAACATCTTAGCCCAGAGATAGTGAGCCTGTCTTTTTATTTCTATATATCCATTCTAACAACAATTTTAACAATGCCTTTCAGCTACAGTTCCTCAGAAGGGATCCTGGGAGATAGCTTATCTTGCTCCCTCCCCTCTTTCTTTCTCTCTTCACCCCTTTCTCTTTCTCTCTCAACCAATCCAAAATTCGCAATTCGTATATATTTCTAGGTAAAATGATTGACAGTTAATTTTAAAGTATCAATGGCTATTCTTTTCTGAAAAAAAAAAAAACTTTCTCCCCTCTCCTATCCCTGCCCCTCATTTACCCAGGATATCTTATCTGTATTTTCTTCCTAGGGTGATCTGTGCATGCTCCTCTTAGGGTCCTCCTTGTTATCTAGCTTCCCTGGGCCTGTGGATTGTGGCCTGGTTATCCTTTGCTTTATATCTAATATCTACTTATGAGTGAGTACATGCTGTGTTTGTCTTCCCAACGTAGAGGGGCATCTACATTGTTTCCAGGTTCTGGTTATTACAAATAATGCTACTAGTGGAGGGGATGGGGAATAAGAACATGAGGGAAGAGGATGGTCTAGTTGGGGGAGGGACAGAGAGGGAGAGCAATGAAAGAGATATCTTGATAGAGGGAGCCACTATGGGGTTAGGGAGAAACCTGATACTAGGAAAATTTCCAGGTATCCACAAAGATGACCCCAGCTAAGATTCCTAGCAATAGTGGAGAGGGTGCCTGAACTGGACTTCTGTAATCAGATTGGTGACTACCCTAATTGTCACCATAGAACCTTCATCCAGTGACTGATGGAAGCAGATGCAGATATCCACAGCCAAGCACTGGGTTGAGCTCCTGGAGTCCAGTCGAAGGGGGAAGAGGGATTATATGAGTAAGTGGGGGATCAAGCTCATGATAGGGAAATACACAGACAGCTGAAGCAAGCTAGTGGGAGGTTCCAGACACTGGACTGACAGCTGGGGAGCCTGCATGAGACCAAACTAGGCACTCTGCATGTGGGTGAGTTGTGTGGCTTGGTCTTTTTGTGGGGCCCCTGGAAATAAGACCAGGATTTATCCCTAGTACATGAACTGGCTTTTTAGAGCCTATTCCTTATGGAGGGATGGATACCTTGCTCAGCCTTGATACAGGAGGTAGGGGCTTGGTCCTCAACTTCAAAGGCCAGGCTTTGTTAGCCTGGCCATACCATCTTGTCTCCTCTCTAAGGATATGGAGGAGGTAGGGGGAAGTGGGAGGAGGGGAGAGATGGGACCGTGGTTGGCATGTAAAATGAAAAAACAAGAAGAAAACCTTCAACTGATACCATATTAATATTATCATCATCATGATCCTGTCATCATCCTGAGAGCAGCAAACATTTTGAGTACATAGTATTTACTAGATTATATAATACTTGATTTACAAATAATTTAAAAATTTAAATGACTCTAGTAAAGTAAGTAGTATTTTTATCATTCTCATTGTGTTGGGGAGGGAGTTGAAAGACTAAAAATCTTACTTGAGGTCCCATAATTACTTAGTGGAGAAATATATTCTCCTACCTTGACTACTGATAGACATTGGTACCTAGTGCATTGGCCTTAAACCTGGAAGGATGACAATGACTTGGGAGAGTCTCCATCTCTGTCATCTGCCCATATACTGTAACAATGATTTTGTTAGAAAATAATGGCAGCCTGTAAGATCAAGGTTGTTTAGCATCGGCATTTTCTTCTTGTCTGAAATACACACTGGCTGGCTCACAGAGATGTTTTCTAAAGATGATTTACTCTGTATATCATTGTCTGTCTTATATCTTTGGAAAGGATGAATGATCAGTCCTGATGTTTGCCCTTGAGGTGCCTACTATTTAGACAAATGATAGTGACATGTGTGGATAGTATAACTTCACAATAAATTGCAGGAAAAGCAGGCAGATATGATCTCAAATAAATTAAAGTAAAGAAAGGACATTCTGTATCATTTGGAGGCTTGGGTAAATTAAGTGTGAGGAAGGTTTACATGTTTCAAGCTGAGGATAATTATCTGTTTGGGAAGATGATGCCCAGAGATATTTTGTACTAACTTTTTACTGCATAGAGGTGGTCAACTGCAGAACCCACCTTATAAGCATGAAATGAGGAATGGAATTGAACAAGCAAAATGTGTAAGAAATCTTGATGTTGGTCACATTGAGAGAATGCTTGGAAGAAATTAAAGCCTGAACATGCACACATTGGAATTTAATGGTAAACAAGATCATGTGTTTACTAAACAAAGAAGGAAAGAATAAAATGAAAAATGATTAAGAACATCTTTCATCATAGTTAAATGTGCATGTTGAATGTTCTAGTATAGAACAAATCTAATATGGCTCTTTGACTTAAACTTATCAATTGTATTATAGTTTCTGAATTGATGTTTTTGCAGGAAAAGTGGCTTCTTACATTGAAAGTATCTAGTATTATTGCATATTTTTTATGTGCAAGAATCTGTCTAGGCACTTTATGTTTATTATGTTATATCATTCTCAATATGATCCTACAAAGTGTAATCCCTAACAGAAAAGTTGGACCCTGTGATGATAGACAGTTCTTTTGGGGTTTGAGAATGAATCTGTCCAACAGAATCACGTGTTGAATGTTTTTCCTTCATTGGGTCATTTGTTTTGGAGACAATGGTAATGTTTTGCAGTGGGGCCTAACTGGAGGAAGTAGGGGTATGGTTTTGAAGGTGTTTATCTGGTCCCTGGTTCCTTCTTCTCTCTCCTTTCAGTAACTAGGACATTCAGAATCTCCATTGTTGACAATGCACTAATATATAACCCCTTATGATATGAGAACAATCTTTAGCAGTCTTTCCTCATTTTTTATACTCCTTGCCCCTGGGAACCTCCAAGGGCTGTCTGTTCTATAGATTTACTTGTATAGGATATTAGGATATTTTATATGATATCTGGTTTCTTTTAATTACCATAATGTTTCAAGGCTTCTACATATTACAACATGTATAAGAATTTAATTTTGAGGCATTTTTTTTTTCATTTTTTGACATACTTACCAGTTTCCCCTCCCTCCTCTCTTCCTGGTCTCACTCCCCACCCCCAAGCCTTCTATTCATTCCCCTCCCTATTCACTCCTAATCCATTTCTATTCAGAAAAGGACAGGCCTCCCATGGGCTTGAACAAAGCATAGCATATCAAATTGAGGCAGGACCAAGCTCCTCCCCCTGCATCAAGGCTGGATGAGGTAATCCAGCATGGGGAACAGGTTCCTAAAAGACAGCTAAGCATTCCAGGGACAGGTCATGATCTCACTGCTAGAAGTATACCAGACAGACCAAACTACACAACTATCACACGCATGCAGAAGACATAGGTTGGTCCCATGCAGGCTCCCCAACTATTAGTCTATGAGCT